GCCAAATTCTTGTAGAAGTTTGATTTCTGGCCAAATTCCAAAATCCAAATTCCGTTTTGCCAATTTCTGGTAAGTCTATTTGCTGAAGTAGCGGGAAATACACCAGCAGAAGTATCTAGATAAGGCAGTAAAAAATATCGGATTAGCTAGATACATGGGGTTTCGTCCGACTGCATGATGCAATACCTGATGCATCTAGTAAGAAAGGACATGTGATAAAAACGAGTTGAATTTAGCGATTAATTGTACGATGCATCGCTGCTCATCAGCTTACAGCAATGTATCTTTTTCTTTCGTTCTGTTTTTTTCCAGAAAAAAACTTAACAAATTAAAAAATATTATTTTAGAGTAATTAACGTTTTTTCGCCTTGAAGGAAACGTTTTAAATCTCACAAATTTAGGTGACGCATCATAGAGTAAACACATACGTTTAAATTCAATACATTGTTCAACACAAACTTGTTTTAATTTGAACTTTTCCAACTGTCGAAATATCTGTAAAACACACGACCATACCTCTTACGTATGGTGATAAACGATGCGTTACCTAACGTTGTGAGATTTAAAGCGTATAACAAGCAATTTCATGATTCTGATAAATATCGTGTGTTGAAACATTCGATTCTCTATGGGTGTTATCGAGAGCAGAGAAAAAAATTTGAAACTATTAATCGCTTAATAACTTTGAAAGATAGTGAATTAAAAGTTGTATAGGGTCAATAATTTTTTGTGCCAAAATATCGAGACATATAAACCATATTGTTGAAAAAGAGAAGAATCTATTGAGGACAAGGCATAATAAGAAATGACTTAATCTTAAGGTACCCGTAGATAAAAGTGAGTTTCAGCAAAAACTGGTGTATGACTATTCTTACCGTGCTCTGAAGGAGAAGAAAGTGTACTGTCGCGTGGTTGGAAGTATGCAATCAATATAAAGCCTTTGAGCTCTTTGAATATTAAAACTGATATTGAGTATATGTATCATTGTATGGAAAGAAATTCGTTGATTAATAAGTCTAATATTTCAAAAATCAAAAGTATATTGAATGAATTTGGAAATAGTATTATAAGGACGCGGAAATATGATATTCCGAACTTATCTAATGAAGAAATTCAAGCGATTAAAACCCTTAGTAATGAATGACAAATCGTCTGTCGTTTCAAAAGTTGATAAAGGTAATGCCGTAGTAGTTCTGAATAAAGAAGACTATCCAGGAAAAGGTTATTCTTTACTTGCTGATAAACGTTTATTCAAACTGTTAAATAATAACCCTACGAAGGAGCCTGAAAAACAATTCATCGCATTTCTACTAAAATTAAAAAACAAAAAAATGATCACAAAAGACGATTATATCAATAACTAGATCCAAATATAAAATATAAAGTAACAGTAATAAACTGTCATTTTTGGATGTATTATGACAAAGCGTATAAATTAACTGCTAGCTGGAGAATAACGCTAAGATTTTCGCAAGTCGATCGAGTTTTTTACAGAAAGCCTAATCTATCTCTACAACGCACCGTGACTATGTGAGGCTTCGACGGGCATGTTATAGGTCAGTTTGAGGGCTACAACTCCTAATAACTATTTTCACAGGCTGGTGTGAGCTCATTGGAAAAAAATGTTTATTACCTACGACCCAAAAAGTTTTGAACCATTCTGCAGAAAACGCTCTCTGTTAGTTACTGATTAACTTTTTTTAAATTAAATTAATCATTTTTGTAGCTCACACTCTCAGCTTTACTTTTAAACCAAAATAATTACTGATGAATGTTTCTAATGTTTCAAATTTCAATTTTTACTGGAATAGAGTAGCAACTCGAAAAAATTGATTACATACTAGCGAACTTAGCTCTACAACTCTCAAACCAGATTTTTCTAACAAAAATAAATTAAGGTATTACGTACCTATATGTAACTTATCTACTCACAAATTTCGAACGAAACATAAATTTCTTGCTTCCGCGATATAGACCACAGTCAGGGCTACAATTTCTAATAACTATTGTTTTCATTTCTAAAGTTTAACATTATTATGTAACCCTTACGTACAATCTCGGTTTGAAAATTTTAGTTTTGTTCATTTAGATTGCTTCCATTACTGCATTTAAATATTTAAACCACTTCACCGAGATTATAACTGAAGAAAATAAAGATGTAACTTCTCTGAAATCAGAAAATGAAGATAAAATCAAAAATCCTCTTACTCAGAGCTGGCCAAGCCAGGACTTTTTCAAGTCAACGAAATCATACTCTAAGTCAGGAAACCCAAAAATATTTTTCTCAAGTTAAGTTAAGTCTGATTTGATTTGACTTGAATTTAAGGCTTTGTTAACTCGACTTGCCCAGCTCTGCTCTTGCGAAATAGTGGAAGAATATTTTTCTCAGCAATGCACAGAACCAAAGCTTTCCAAACTGTAGAAGGGTAATAAACTAAAAGCTGATGATACTGCAGGTTTTTACCGATCTGGTGTAAATTTGTTAAAATGCGATAAATTTTGCTTGAATAACTTTCTTGCCATTAGTATCCGGGTGTACAGTAGCAGGCATCAAATGACACACCAACAGCTTTTTAACGTTATGTCCAAAAACAGGCCGCTAAAAAACTGCCTATTAAGGCCAATCAGGAGGAAAATACCAAATGAAAATATTCAGAAATATTAATAATAATAAAAGCATAATGATTAGGAGTACGTAATATAACTATCGAACTATTACCAATTAAAGTAATTTGGCTATACTGGAACATGCGCTGTTTGCAAACTACTTCAGAAAATGGCTATTTAACAGCAAATGACATAGAACAATGACTCGACTTAGTTTGAAGAAACAGTGCCCTTACAGCATGCGTCAGGACTAAAGTCTCGTTTGTTACCTCGATTCAGTGACCAAATATCATGTTAAGACTTCAGTGTAAATACAATCCACGTGAATTAATGAAATTAATTAAGATTAAGCTTTGATTTTTCACCGAATCTAGCATGGGTACACTAGAGCGTGATCGTTCCGAAAAATCATATTTGAAAAAGTAGCTTGTAGCTCGGTGAGTAATAATCCGAGAGAAGTCATTCATGCATTGCTTGATAGCCAATAGTCTGTTGTTATGGTGTGATGGAAAAAGTTTTAAAAAAACTTTTTTAAAGACAATAATTTATAACTAATAAATTCTAATGAATACTAATTCATATCACTCTGGTGCCTCACCGTTTTATTTGCAAACTAACAGTTTATTGGAAACAGTAAAGTAATACGTGATTCGAGGGAGATTTCCAAGCGCTACAAATCCGTGTATTTGGCTTTTCAAAATATTACCGGTAAACAGTTATTTAATACTCGGTTTTAGTTAAACGGGGTTTCTACTATGGATTTCTGTATAGAGCTGCCATGGATGCTTTTTGAATAATTCGAGAACGAGAAGGAATAGAGGGTTCAGATTTTCAGCATTTTGTAGAGAAGGCTTTACTTTATCTTCACATATATTCTGTACGAAAAATCTCGGTTTTTCAGGTGGTGTGCCTGATTGATGAAAAGCGATGGGGGTTACCAGATTCTGAACCTGCAGTGGATTTTTAATTGTAACACAGTGGCCAGATAGTCCGAAGCGGTCTCTACAATTCCGTGCAACATCGACCTCTCTATCTGTTGTGGTTCTCGAATGGCAGTCATTTTCCTGAGTCACTCATAATTCGTTATCATTTCGTCGGGTAAATACCTGCCAATCGAGAACCGCAACAGATGGAAAGGTCGGCCTTGCGCAGAATTCTAGAGACCACTTTGGACTATCTAGCCACTATGTTACAATTAAAACTTATTGATTGTTACAATAATTGCTGGGGATTTCGGAAGCTCTTGTTACAAGGGTACGCACCCAAAACCTTGCCACGGATTCTGACTACGCAATGCATATCTTATAAAAACTATCGTAACAAAAGTTGTTCCCTTTAAAATTCTATGTGGAATAAGCGGAACAGTTTTTTTCTAATGACAAAAACTTTAAAAAGTTATTAATTAAAAAATTTTGAAATTAAAATTGTTCAAATTTTCATTTAACTTCTGTTCAAAACTTTTTCTTGAAACTCCGTTCCGCTTATTCCATACAGCATGACATCAGCTAAAACTTCACCAGCGAAAGTTTTCTCAGAAATCCTTCGTTATCGTGCAATCGCTAGCAGACTTTTCAAAAATTACTTTTTATGCTTAAAAGTAGAAAAAACAGTCGTTTTAGAATGTTTCACTCAAAAAACCTATATCGTGCGAAAACTATTCAAACTTTTTAAAGCATATTATATATAATCAAAGATTGTCTACAAAATAACTCTACCACGACGTTGATCGGATATTTCAATAAAATATAATGAATTCTTTTATAATACCATTCTCAATATTCTTTAACTCAGACTGAAAAGTTTTTTATTAATATACACTAAATGATGCGAAGATTCAAATTAACAAAAGATTTGCTTAGCAGATTAGTCAGTTTTGGGTAAAATGAATTTTTCTGTTCACATGCTATTTTCAGGCTAATTTTTAATTAGTTGATTTTCCACTACCTTTGAACTTCATAATAACGTCTAACGCCATTAAATAGCTCACAGTTTGAAGCATATGTCGTACTGTTTTGAACCGTTCATAAATCAGTTTTTATTTTTTCACCTAACGTCCTGGAAGTACATTGTGCTCTTATCAGGAAATTTTCATAGTTTTAACTAACGCAGTTTTTTCACATAACACACGTAATGCGAATAAAGTCAAGAGGACGAAATGCTTCATTTCATCCCATATTTCTTACAATTAACGTTTTCTTTTCTTCAACACCTTTGTATAATCTAAGATAAGAACAACATTAAAATGGGCCACGATAGTTAAATAAATCATAGAGAAGGTAGAAAAAGTTGTACTCTCACTTTAGAAACAAATGGCTAGTGTTACACTCATCTACATTTGCTTTCTAATACTAATTCCTATAACTGTTCAACATCAATGTATCCAGTATTGTGTTATGTTTCTATCATTCGATGAAACGTTCAACACACTTCCACCTACATGTAACCAAACATATCAGAATGTTGAATGTTATTCAGATATTGGTTTTGATTATGTATCAAAAACAATCGAAATTAAATTTGGTGAACAAAGTAGAAACGGTAGTAGCGCCTCATCAGATGACTATTACACATCACAAGAAACAGAAATGTGGTTTGAACCATATGATCTTCAGTGGACGGTATTAAAACATAAATGCTATCATGGCGATTTGTGTGATTTTGAATATGCCAAAATGAAAGTGTTTCAAATGCGTAAATTAACAATGAATTTTAATCAATTTCAAGAGAGATTGTCGTCTGCTTTGTTCACCGCAGGTTCAGGTACGGACAAGAGCGTAAAAGAGAACGCAATTAGGGTTCTGTATACTTTCATTTTCCTAAACCTTTCTCAAAGAGTTTAGCAGCTCCTCTAAATCTTTTTTTGGCATTTTAGAAACGGAAAAGGTAAGAAACAAAGTGAATACTTTTCGTAGACATTATGATGAAAAATAAGAAATCCTTTTCTATTTGTTCGACCTGAAGAAGTTTGTTGAAGTCATGCGTGTTAGGAAGTGAAAAGCGAAGCATTTCTGGTAATTCTCGATCATTTTTCCTAAAAATCATATTGAGCCCCTTCCTTTGAAAACATACGTATGTAAGGATGTACTTGGTATGATGATTGATTCCGGCTGTTACGTAATACAAGATCCGTGGAAGTTAGAAAAATTTAGGCAAAAACGCGGGGGACCGTAAAGGCAGTTTTAACATTTAATAAACAAACCTAAAAACCCTTGCGCTCTCCGAAAAATCAAGAGACTCTCTACATTCTATCATGTATTCTCTTTTAAATATTTTCCATTCAGGTATCGGTGATATTCGTTGTTTATCGACAGATGGTCTAATTTTAACATGTGGTGAAAATATTAAGTCGTGCAGTTTAAATATTGATAATGTTAATAGAAATGAAACGCATCAGGGTTGTTCGTCGCCAGCTGATGATCGATTGCCAAAACAGTTGGGGATCAAAGAAGAAACATCGTATTATCTCAACGGTAAAGTAGATGTGCGACAAAGTTCAGTGAAATATATCTGTAATCACGAATTATGCAATGGACAAAACATATATAAGAACGTCACGCAGCTGCTAATGGAATTCAGTCTAATGCGTAATGATACATCGACAGGACCATTTTCTTCGGCACCTAACATAAAGGAACTAATGCATAAAATATCGTTGCTTATACCATTGCTTTTCCACTTTATGTATTATCTCTAAATTCATCAGCAGATAATCTAATCTTTTTGTTGACAAATTTTAGATCTTGATTTATTCAAAGCCGTGATATTTTATCTTTTCTCAAACCTCGTAAACTTTCTTGAATTCAGTCAGAAATCATTCTTAAATCTTAATTTGTTTTATACAGACAATTTGACCTGCTATAAAAGATACGCAGATCAAAATGGCATACTCGGAATAGATGGCGGACGATGATGTGAAATTGAAATAAAACTTGGTTAATCATTGAAGTGGCTACAGGTATGTCTGTATCATAATATTTATCCAGAACCATTTCAAATCGCTGAACAAGCTCACGGTGTTTTTCAATAGTATGCGCATATTTTCCACTAAAGTGTTTTGTAGGATTTAGTAACATCAGTTTCTACAACTGTCCTTTACTGCTGTTGCAGGACGGAGAAAGAGCTTGAAGATTTTCACTGCTATTAACAATCTGTGCTAGTGTGAGGAACTCCAACGTTGTCATCTTATGGAACCATCCTCAAGCAGCTTCTCTCCATACTTGAATTTGATTAGATGATCTTTTTGTACTTCACCATCTTTGCCATAGTTAGCGCCATTTCCCTAGTGATAGATTCTTGCAAAAGAATCTGATAGGAATCTGATAAGAAGCTTATAAGAATCCGCTACGACTCATATAAGAATCTTATTCGATTCTTATTGAATTCTTACATAAGAAGTCGGCAAGAACTAACAAAAAATTGATAAAAACAGATAGGGGTCAGTTAAGAATCCTGTAAGAATTCGACAGGAAAAGGACAAGAACTGGCAAAAACTTACTGTTGTTTTTTCCTTCTTTAGTTAGCTGTATTAGTGAGAATGTAAGAGGTCGTGAGACATTTCCAAAACGACTAGTTTTACCTACCTTCAAGAAATTTCCAAGAAATTAGTGGTGCTTATGCAACATAAAACGGTGATTGGCTTTTAGAAAGAATTTTATAAGGAAGTGATAAGAAAGTGATAGAAGCGTCTTGTCGAAGTCATAGTCCATTCTTATTTAAATCTTCCCTAATTCTTATCGGATTCGTACGAAATTCTTGCCATTTTCGTGCGGACTTCTTATGTAGGAATCCGATAAGGATTTGATAAGATTCTTACTAGAAATAACGAAAAATATTTGTCTAGGGTTAACTGTTCTGAAAGATTAGGCAGCTTATTTGCTGCTCTGAAGGGAGTCGCAGAACATCTCCTTGTATCATTTCCCTTCTGCATATCTGCAATCATACATATTTTTCTACAAAATAAAGGGAATAGGGACAAAAAGTGTCAAATTCTGTTTTTTTAGAATACCGGTTTCCTCCCACTATGAACAACTAAAATGAGTATGAAGATATCGTTTGAGTCATTTTGAAACACAGTGTAAAAATGACGTCATAGATTCAAACAAAAGGCATTTTTACCTGTATTATTTGTGTTTAACAAACACCTTTTTCACTTTCATACTAACATAATTACTCAGCTTGGACAAAGAATTCTTGCTATCGTCACAAATTCGAACTATACCAATTCTGAGAAAAAATCTCTCATAATACTTCGAAAACTGCTAACATAAATAATACAAAGATATTACAAAGGACACTGTTTTAATTGGTAAAGTAAAATGAGGGTTAGCATCATTGACAGAACTACACCATTGTTAATTTGCTGATACTGTTTTTAGTCTTAATAATATTCTTTCTGTTTCTGTACATGTTATATGATCGATACACTCACCAGGAAAGTAATTAACCGAAAGTAATTAATCACATTAAGAGACGGTAATACTTTGAAAACTGAACTATATTTCTAAGTGCTTACTACATACAACCGCCAAATTAACAATGACGTAGTTCTGTCAATGATTCAGGACTATATGAAATCCTCACACCCACGGATCGGTTCATGAATCGCATTTTTCTAAAGTAAAAATATTGTTGCTCTTTTCTGTTTCAAGAAATACAAGTGTAAAAATAAAAATTAAAACACTCAGAATAAAGAGTACGTGAATAAGTACAAACTTCTATCTATCTCGTGCATATGTATGCCGTCTGATAAAAAAGGAACCGGTAGTGTCGAACAGGATGAAAGTGAAGTATAGATCATACACAATTCAAGACACATATAAATACAGTGTGTCCCAAAAGTCCCTTGTGGAAAATATTTTTGAATTACTCCTCTGTTTCATTGAACTTAATCAATATTTTTTTTTCATATGATGCATATCACCGTCAAGTTTTTATTGATATGAAAAAAGCCTACAAATATTGCTCAAAGGTATCACCTTGGACAGAAATACAAAAATCCATTCTTTTGCGGATTTCCGAAAAAACATTGCACAATGTTTCTGTTTTTATCGCTTTGATTTCTCGAGTTATTCTCCTCTTTAAATCATCAATATCTTGTACTCTCGTTTTATAAATGTTCGCTTTGACATGACCCCATAAAAAGAAATCCAATGGGGTGCGGTCTGGTGATCTCGGAGCCCACGAAATGGATCCACCTCTTCCAGTCCATCGACCAGGGAACTTGTTGTTGAGCCACGAACGAACTGCCTTTGAGATATGTACCGAGGCACCACCTTGTTGGAAAATTACCTCTTTTGTCATCCGATTCTGTTGTAAGATCGGATAGAAATGTCCTTCAAGCATGTCAAGGTAAGCTCTATAATTTATTAAAAGATGTAGCTAAAAGCATATCTTTCAAATGCAGTTCTTGCATAGTCTTCTATGAGATCATGTCAAAACGAACATTTATAAAAACGAGAGTACAAGATATTGATGATTTAAAGAGGAGAATAACTCGAGAAATCAAAGCGATAAAAACAGAAACATTGTGCAATGTTTTTTCGGAAATCCGCAAAAGAATGGATTTTTGTATTTCTGTCCAAGGTGATACCTTTGAGCAATATTTGTAGGCTTTTTTCATATCAATAAAAACTTGACGGTGATATGCATCATATGAAAAAAAAATATTGATTAAGTTCAATGAAACAGAGGAGTAATTCAAAAATATTTTCCACAAGGGACTTTTGGGACACACTGTATATTCAAAGGTGAACTGACGTGAGAAGACAAGAAGACCTAATTATGCTTGAACATCACTAGAGAACTATTTATAAGATTGTTTTTTGATCAAAAACCTCAATATTTTCTTCAAGAAAAATATGACCAGTGATTTGTAAATAATTAAAAACAGTAGTGCTAATTGAAGATAACATATTTTATTTTAGATTTGTGAAGAAAATCTCGCTTAGAAGAACTAATAAAAATGTTTACACAATGAAATACATAAAATTCAATTGTTCAACGTCCCGTTAGCATCACATCCGAGATCTTCCCACTGAGGCATTCCTAACATATCCATACCAAATTCTTTTGCTATTTCATCTGCTCTTGTGTGATTAATCGGTTCTACATTGTATACTTTATTTACTTTTGCAAAATAATTTTCAATGCCGGATGGTGTAAATATAATTTGTAAATAAGCGTTAGGTGAATTGACATTTGTAAACGACATTTTAACTTCACGTGGTGCATGAATTATTGTACCAGCTCTAGCACAAAATGTTTCATTATCAATAATAAACTGTAATTCACCTTCCATCACACGAAAAGTTTCATCCTCACGATGATGAATATGCAACTGGGGCCCTTCACCAACAAGAATATGTCCTTCCATCATGGTAAACAGTCCACCAGTGTCCTTGCCACGTAGTTTGTAGACTCGGGTAGAATTCGGAAACGGTAAGGAACGTACTCGTTCACCCTCATTTGGCTGCATTCGAATGGTTTTTCCGCCGGCTAAGAATGATTTTGGCCATTGGTGGTGATCTAAACAGAGCCTATGTTCTTCAATGTGAGTTCAACCGAACGTTGTACAATATTTAAGACAATTGATCGTTTTGCATTTTTGGTTAAATGTAGAAAGAAAAATTGCAGTATCTATCTGTACTACAAATATAACTAAACTTAAATTGTTTATAATTTTGGCTTTTATCTCATTCTCACACTTACTTCCTTGTGTGTGTATGACTAGTGTGATACACAGTAAGACGGTACACAGCAAATTATTACTCCGTTTCATCATTTTCTTTTTACGATATTCAGAACTGACGATTCGTTTATATCTTGGCTTAGAAATATACACATATATTTCCAAATAATTAAATTATATTACGGAAGCCTCGTCATATTTGATTTGTTTACGTTTGACGCACAACTAATTGTTCGTTTTCTTCGAAAAATAAAATACTGAAACATTGGTGAAAATATAGAAGTTTAAATTGGAATAGGTATTGTCACAAAACAAATAAATACTTGAAAAAAAGGTAATGAAAACAGGGCATGTATATAAGTATATGACTGTTTATTATTCTAGGACCGTAAAAACTTTTTCTCAGAAAAAACAACTGAGGACAATCAATCTCGTTCTGTATTGTAGAAAAAAAATCATAAATAAATTTGTGGGCGAAAAAATCCTGTTCGTAGTTAACCACGGGATTAAAGAATGTCAGGCAAGTCGTCATGTACATCGATTTATCTTTTCTTTGTAAGTTATATTTGTTTAGCTCTGACTACCTTTTACTTCCTTGAGTTTTTTCCTGTCTGATTATTGCTGTGGAATCAAACATGTCAGTGATGTAGTCTAGCGTTAACAACTACTACGCAATAAACGAAGAAATTGTCTATGATATTTCCAAGGATCAAGAAATAGTGTCCGAGACTAATGAATAGTTCATATTTAACAAAGCTCTTTATTTACTTTCGACCGAATATTTAATGTATCAACGATTCATGACTATACGACATCCTCACATTTGGTTCATGACTTTTCTAATGGAAAAATATTGTTGCTCTTTTCTGTTTCAAGAAATACAAGTGCAAAAACAAACATTGACATATTCAGCATACGGAGTGTGAGAATAAGTAAAAACTCCCATCTATCTTATGCATATGTATGGCGTCTGATAAAAAAGGAACCGGAAGTGTCGAACATGATGAAAGTGAAGTATGGATCACACACAATTCAAGACACATATAAATATATCCAAAGGTGAACTGACGTGAGAATACAAGACGATCTAATTATGTTTGACCATGACTCGACAACTATTCAGAAGAATTTTTTTGACTTATCTGTCGATCAAACACCTGAACAATTTCTTCAAGAAAAATGTGACCAATGGTCTCTAAATATTCACAGTGAAGAATATGCGAGAAAAATGGATGAATGTGATCCACTGAGATATGTGAGAAATGAATTCTTTTATCCAAAGATGTCTGCGTTACCGTATGGTAAAGTATTGTTTTTATATATTTGACGTGAACGTGTAAACAAATAGTTTTTATTGACTATTTTAGTTGATAAAGATCGTGTTAATAACGATGATGAATGTATATATTTGTGCGGTCAGTCACTTGGTTTAATGCCAAAACGAGCAAAAGAACATTTGTTGAATGCAATGAATGACTGGGCAACACTGTAAGTGTGAATCTGTAAGAACTTTCAGTGTTTGATATTTTCGCACGTTTAGCGGAGTGTACGGTCATTATATTGGAAAAAATCCATGGGCAAAATGTGATTATCCCTGTTTGCCAGAAATAAGTTTATTGGTGGGCGGTTCAGTGGAAGAAGTTGGTGTTATGAATCAGTTATCGACGAATTTACATTTTATGATGGTGAGTTAGGATTTATCTCAAGAACTTGTTTAACTTCTTTTGTTTAGATTTCGTTCTATCGTCCAAAAAGTGAAAGATACAAAATTCTGTATGAAGAACGAGCATTTTCAAGTGATCAAGTACGAATAACACTCAAAGTGAACGCTTTTGATTCGTTCTAGACGTGATCGCGTTAAATCACGTAACGAGCATAATGCATCACAATAATAGCAGTGCGGTGGTTTTGAAGTCTTATGTTTCAAAACGTTTATAAGTTAGGAATGCTTGACGTTCATTTTTGTTTTTCTTGTGTCGATCGTCCCCAATTTATGAAGTTTTTTCATGATTCATTTTTTAATCACGTGTAAAATTACGGCGGGAGGACTCTTGTAATAAGTCCCATCACCGGGTTGTCTTTCTTCAGCACATCAATTCTAGTGATTCTCAAAAAGGCCTCAAAGTTCTTACAGGTCAGTATTCTATTAATATCAAATTGGAATGTAAACTTTAATCTTAATCTTAACCTTAGTAAGTAAAGTTTAGTTAGAAGAAGAAGAGATAGCTAAGAACCACGAGTCGCAATTTGCGACTCGAAAATCGACCACATCATGATTTACATAGTTCGCGTGATCACTCTGTAAACTAACGATTCGTACTGATTACGGGAAAAGTAGAATGACTCATTTATTAATAATAGGCAGAAATTGCTGTAATATATTTGACAGTCGTTAGTAAGCGACTCGTATGATGGACATGTTACGGGATTCCGTCGCGGATGAAAGTTAGAGGTGGAGGCAAAAAAGTTGACTTGAGACGCTCACTTTGAAGCACATCTCGCTTTAATTTTGTAGTATGCGATTAATTCTCAAATTAAATTACGTGATTATGATCCAAATAAGTCGAAAATTATAGTCAAAGCCAGAGAGGTATATCAATTAATTTATGATTGAACTAAGATATAAACTTCTGCTGAGTGTTTTAGGGTGAAACGTTTATTCGAACAGAGGATATTATTGAAATACTAAAACGTGATGGAAAATCAATTGCCTTAGTAATGATGAGCGGTGTTCACTATTATACAGGACAATTGTTCGATATGGAAGCAATTACACACGCTGCACATGAACAAGTATATATGACACACTCTTAGTCAACTAAGTTACTGTTTTCCTTTTCTATCAGGGTTGCATTGTGGGATTTGATTTGGCTCATGCAGTTGGCAATGTACCGTTAAAATTACACGACTGGAATGTTGACTTTGCCGTATGGTGTACTTATAAAGTACAGTGCTCCATATTAAAACATTAAGAATATGTCATATCTGCTTCTTTCTAGTACTTAAATTCGGGTGCTGGATGTATCGGTGGTCTCTTTGTTCATTCTAATAATTTTCAACGTGAATGGCCGCAATTACACGGATGGTGGGGCAATAAAGCTTCAACTCGCTTTAAGATGTTAGATGGTAAGATGATTATAATGCAGAAAAATGGCATAAAGTGAATTTGGATCTATTCTATAGATATTGATCGTGAAATTGGTGCTAATGGTTATCGGATTAGCAATCCATCGATACATCAATGTGCCGTATTGGCAGCCAGTATGCAGGTAACAATAGACTAAAACGAGATTCAGCTATCCTATACAAGACAATAATCATTCTTATTCAGATTTTTGAAGAAACTGGAATTGATCAGCTACGTTCCAAATCGCTTATACTAACACAATATTTGCAACATGCAATAGAGATACAATTTTCAGGTAAATATGCCCAAATAGACTCTGTTAATTTGCACTTTATTTCCTTATCTATAGACACATTCACAAATTTAACACCAACAAATCATTTTCAACGTGGTGCTCAAATATCGTTAAGACCAAAAGAAATAACGGCACAACAGTTACATGATGAAATGGAGAAAATGGGTGTTGTTGTAAGTATTCTTTCAATTATATGTAATCTTTTTCTTATTTCTGTTTATTTCATTAGATTGATATTCGCGATGATATTATTCGCATAGCACCTGTACCATTGTATAACAGTTTTTATGATGTCTATAGATTTATCACAATATTAAGAGATACTCTTGCGCACATTAAACTCAAATAAGAAGTTTGATACAAACGTAAATAGTTCTTATAGCGAATTACGTCATTTATCTTATGTTGCAGGAAGGAAACAAATGTGGCATTAAAACTGTTCCTAAAGTTCATATAATCGAATAGACATAGTTCATAGTATTGAAAAAATAATGAATAAAAAATAATTCGTGCGTAAGTTTCAATAAAAAGTATAGTGTTATTATGCTTGTTTTTTGTTTGACGCCTGAGATTAACGAAATTACAGGCACTCATGAAAGAAATCAACCAGAGGATACTAAACGCTACTGAAAACATTGAAAAAGAATACACTTATAAAAAAAAACAATAAATAAATAAATAAAAAAAATAAAAATATATAACCCGATGCAAATAAATGAAAAAGTTGTATTTCGCTGTTAATAAATATATAATTATCTGTAATACGGTTTCTAATAACATGAAAATACAAAAACACGTCTAAAAGATTTTGGAAGTCCCTCTGCTCGGTTAAAAGCGCAAATATAAGAAAACTCGGCATCTTCCGCTGGATAGTATCAAGAGAATAATCTAATTTTGATTTCCGCTTATCTTTAACACTTTTGAGTGCGGTAAATCTGATAGCAAAGCGCATACTCCACCGATCGCTTAACAAGGGTTAACTGACGATATTTTGGCGTTTCGTTAAACATGGGGCACTTTATCAAATTGTGTTTGTTTTGTTTTTGTTTCGTTTTGTTTTTGTTTCGTTTTGTTTTTGTTTCGTTTTGTTTTATTTTGGCGATTAATTCAAGAGATGTTACATTAAAACTTTCAACAAAAATGTTAACATGAAAATGAGAACAAAATCATATTGCCAGGAAAGCAAAAGATAATGCTTAGCATCTATAAGACTTTTGCCACCTTTATACACTACCTCAATCATATTTGCAGGTGTTGGCGCAAACGAGTTTTGAAATTTTTAATGGTGGGAGAGCTCACTACAGCCTTAGGTAGGGTTATATTCCACTCATGAGCAGTTTTATTGAAAAAACTGCTGAGGATGGTCTGAGTTGGAGCATAAGGAACCTCGACTTGAGCTTGATGTAGAGTGTTACGATTCGATTGTCTGTTTGGGTTATATCTGATGATGCCTAATCTAGAGAGAGGGAAGAATCCTCTAAAAATTTTGAAAAAGAGTACTGTAAATTTTCTAAAGGGTTACATTGAAAAGAGCATACCCTCAAACCTATAAAAAGCACGCTTTTAGGCTAAAAGACCACGTACCTACTGAAAATTGCCCACTGTGCACAGTGGGCAACCATGTAGATATTAGGTGAAAAACGAAAGTGGACTTTTGGCAAATTCAAATAGCAGAACATATACTTCGGCAAACGCTCTATCTTTTTGCCATTGAAAGTGTTTTTCTAGGTGTCATAATTAGCGAGAAAGCAGAGAGTCAAATTTTTGTCGAAAAACAGAGCGATGATGCGACGACAAAAATTAGTTTACACCATTACCATGGCTATCGAATGGTGGAAACCGCAAGTCTCTATCTTTATTTGGTGTTGAGTTATCAAAAAATGACCACTGCTCTTGTATTTTGGAACTGATAATAGTTCTTTCGAACTAGACGGAATAGTTGTAACTATTCCTTTAAACGAGGAACTGTTGATGCTCTACCTCTTGGCACTCCATTAGTTTATGATGTGTTCATATAGGGAACATTTTAGACTAAGGAACTGGAGACGCAAACTAATAAAATATCGGGAAGGAGAGCATCAACCGTTCTTTATTCAATAACATTCTCATTATATCTCACTACACAAGAGCATGTTAAAAATAATTGCAGCTGATGTGAACTTGAACACTTTTATTTATTTTGGAATTTTCGATCAACTACGATCGTTTTCAATAAATAATCGTTTGACAGAAGAAAACAGACACAAGGAATTTATGTGAAAAGTCAAATTAGAGAGAGAGAACTATATATTTTCGATTTGTAATAGCAATTGTTTTTAAGAACTGTTTATATTGCCTCTAGTTATACATTATTTTAGATGTCAATTCATGTTTCATGTTTCATTTATTTAGCTCAAATCTAAACAGGGAAACGGGAAAAGCCCCGGTTTGTAAATACTGCACCCAAAAATCTTTCCAAATATGAACGCACAAAAAGACAAGATACAATAAACAGCAACTACAGGTAGAAGAACCGTCCTGAACAAGCAGAACGATAAACATTCACATTTAATAACAAAGATGAGCGCGTAGGCAAGCTTTAAAGACTGGTAGAGAAGCAACAATAACATTGAAAGTGTTAACAGAATCAAGATTGCTAATGACATGTTGTGGACGTTGGTTCCACTGATCCGCTGTTAGATAGAAGAATGATTCCTGTACAATTTTCTTTGATGTGAAAGGAACAAGCACCAGGAAAGGATTTAGGTTTAATCGAAGACTGGTTCTTGTGTGACGCATAGAAATGATAGAAAATTTAGATAAAAAACAGATGTCGAATAACACTTTATAAAAGTGCCGAAGGCGGAAACAGCATCTAGGGGAAACAAGGTATGACAACTTTAGTTTACGGAGAAGATCATCACCATTAGAAGAAGCAAAGCCACACAAAATAATGCGTGCTGCCGGTCTGTGTGTAGCAGCTAGCCTAGAATAGAAAGACATAAACAAACTGGCGTAAACAATTGATCCATACTCTATGCACTTATTATGCCCGACAGATTTGTAGCTTAATTTCCGTTCGAACATTTCTGAATATTCCATTCATCGCACTTAAACGACGTTGAAGGGAAATAACTAATCTGTCTACATGAGCATCCCAACGAAGATTAGAAGAAATAGTCACGCCTACTAAACACAAACTCTCTACTCTCTGAATGAGAACACCTGCCAGATTTAACTGAAGACGATCTCCATGATGAGGGCAATTTCAAACAAACATCCATTGCACTCAAAAGTATTGATAAACATAAGATGTGAAGTGCACCACTCCTCAACAGAATTTATGTTTGATTGATAGTTAGCTTGAGGCGCAAGAACGATAACAGGGGAAAGTAGACGACAGTTATTAGGTAAAAGAGAAGCGAGCGAAGGTAGAGAAATGTGATCCAGTAAATCATTAATGAAAATGAGAAACAAACGGCGCCCTGGGATTTAACACTGGCGCACCCCTGATGGAATAAACGAACGGGTAAAAAAAGATTCACCAATGTGAATTTGCTGAGTACGTATATATTCATATGAGACGAGTCGCTAGGCCTTCCTAGAGCAGTTTTATGAAAAACTGTTTTTTCAGAAACCTCATAAAATCCCCAAAGCTTTCTCTTAATAAGCCACGATTGTAGCCCACGAAATTCTGATCAAAATGAGACATCTCCAACCTCTATGTGACCTTTCTTTGCAAAGTTATAGAATTTACACAAAAAGCCCTAAATTAATTTCTTATTTTTGTAGCTTTGAGCTGAGAATGAATTTTTAGGGCTTTTCTTGTATATTCTATAACTTTAAAAAGAACGGTCGCATAGAGGTCGGATATGTCTCATTTTGATCAGAATTTCGTGGGCTATAATCGTAACTTATTAAGAGAAAGTTTCCTGGATTTTTCGAGATTTCTGGTAAACCAGCTTTCCATAAAACCGCTCTAGGAAGGCCTATCGGCCCGTCTCATATGGATATTCATCTGAATCAGCGTGGTCGATAGCTTGTAATTGCAGTACGTTTGGTGAAAAAAAGCGATTGATCAGTTAGATATGTTCCCTTGTCAGTAAAAACTCACTCTTCAGGTATAAGAATCTGAAGAGACATATAACCCGATATGCTCGAGGATCTGGTGATGTCAGACCGATTCACATGAAAGTTTGTCATGGACCTCTAGAGATCAGAATCTCAACGACTCATCCATGAAAGACTTAGCATCGGATTCGAAATCAGTGAAAAAATTATCTTTAATCTGTCTACATTTCCAGGAAAAAGTCACCTGATGCTTACACAAGTTTTCTCCTGTTAAAAACCCTTTCTTTAATTGAAAGTAAACGAGATTATAGCGGTACATGTAAATAAAAGCATTTTATGCAGAAAAATAGAGTGAAATGAGAACAATTCGCTTCTATTCTTTTTAAGATTTACAATATAAACAAGTTATATATCAACTACGGTCGTTATATTTGAATAAATGTTTTTTCTTCTTCTTTGTTAAATATTTTTTAAATATTAGTATACTCTTCCCACATACTAGTTGAAAAATATTTTTTCGTTAAGAATGTAAAGTGTAGAAATGTAAACATAAAACTTGTTTATATATAAAGAAGTTTTATGTTTACATTTCTTGCTCTCAGCCAAATGAAGGTGAACGAGTACGTTCCTTACCGTTTCCGAATTCTACCCGAGTCTACAAACTACGTGGCATTTTTGGAGACCTGGTTGTGCAGAAATGCTCTGCAAACCCTGCGAAGATCTCCAACGTTTCCTCGTTAGAATCTGTGATGTTTTCTACCTATAAATCCAAATTTTCATTGACTTTGAGTGAAAATTGGGTGATTTATTGCGAAATGAGCTGCCCGATTCGAGGCAAGATGCACAGGTTCCACCAAAAACGCATTATCTAAGGAACGAAAAAGAACCTGGAGAAATGGATATCTAACTTTTTTCATGATTTTGTGACGAATATGATCACGTAGAAATATCGGTTTCAGCCTAAATCTATAAAGACTTTATGTTTTTGGCGTGAACGGAAGAAGAACTTTCCCGCTCTTTGCGGCTTTTAAATTTTCATTGTGTCAAATAATACCTGTGTAATAATGCAGTTTGATGTAGTTTTCGACGTAGAAAAACAAAGAAATTGTTTTAAACTTCCCAAAAATGATTAAGATAGAAATTTTTGATTATTTTCGAAAATTAGGCTACGTTTTGAGACTTGGAAATTTTTGAGTTTTTCCAAATTTTTCACCCTAAAACATTTTTCCAAAACTTAAAAACACACATATTCGGATGCAGCTCCACATGCTCTATCGAACCATGTATAGAAATCGAAAAAGAAACAGTGCTGAAATTATGAATTTCCTTGTAACCTTACATTATACAAATAATGTGAACATTATTCAAGTATCAACTACTTTTCATTGTTTACTCTTTACAAATACAATTCTACATATAAATCCTCAATAAATTTCGTTATTTTTTCCGTAATAATTGGGTCAACATTTCTAGCACTTGTCTTTGATGTCATTGAATGTGTTAAACCATCCACTTCATTCAAAAAAAGGCGTATTGATTTCTTTTCGTAAATCTTTTCAATAAGTTGTAGAAGAGGCTGATAGACAACTGGCGGTACTTTCAGATCTGTTTGGCTGTTAATCGACATGATGGAAACATTGTTTCGTTTCATTATTTCCAATGATTTTGTCAATTGTTTATCATTACCTAATTGTAACTGTGAATTGGCCCATGCGGTTGATAAACACGTATCAAAACTATAGCTAATTTGACATTGAATTAAACACTCCATTATATTCAAGTCTTTTGAGCATATTGATGTTCCACATTTTGCTGGGCAATAGAATCCATGTTGAATACTGACATTGACAGTGCTTACATTGGTTGCGGGAAATGTCGCACCTGAATAACAGATGATACTCGAATAGTCAATGGGTATTCGATTTTGTCGAATCAAATTGTATTGTTCAACAGCTACGTTTGTTATACAATTAAACACGTTTAAAATTTCCGTAACTCGAAGAATTTCAGCTGAAATTTGAGGCGTAACTGATGTTTGTGATCGTAAATCTAACAGGTATTTTTCAAATAACGGTTGTTGTACTTTTGCTTGATATTCCAAAACCAAATCAAAATCGACACCGACACCCATCAGTAATACAAGGCCCTTTGGGCTAGGTTGAGAGTGACGTTCAAGCAAATTCAATGCCAAATTGATACCGATAGTAACACCTTGTAAAGAGAACAAAATAAAATTTTATTTATAGATTCAATCTCTTACCTTCTGAATGTCCCATAATGTATAATTTATTTGAATCAATTCTGTTCGAATAATTAGCCAAAAAGTAAAATGCTTGTTGTGCATCGCTGAGAAAATCATATAAGGATAATTTTAGCGACTGAACACAATTGTTTGTTGTATCCCGACAGAATTGATACATGCATGGTGATATATGACAATTTCGTTTATCGTAGACTAGCACAGCCACTCCATTTGTAGCTAATTTTATTGCTATATCTTCAAATACACGTACACCATCTCCCTCTTCCCATCGATTGTTTCCTCCCGATCCATGAATTAAAACACATCCTGGTACTGGTCTCGCTGATGAAGCAGTATCTGGTATAAATATTGTTCCAAATAAAGTTATTTTGCCAGATGGAACGTCTGCACTTTCAAATGAAACATTGTATGCTGAATAACCATTCGGATTTGATAGAATAAGATTTATGAAACAAGTGAACAGAATAAATATCACATGTAATAAGCAGCTTTTAATGGTACCCATAATTTGAATTTCAACAGAGTAGTTGAATACTTGGGCTTTCTTTTCTATATTAATCTATACTTTTGCTTCAAACTAACCTAGAAAATTAAAAAAACAAAATCCTTTAGTCACTCTTCAAATATCTGTTTTATTTTCTAATATCAATATCATACATGCCTTCTTTGTTTTTAATAGACTTGGCAAGAGTCAAATGTCGTTAGAAACTTCGATTACTAAAAAAACCCTATTCTTTATGGTTCAAATCACAACAACCTAAATAAATAATAAGCGTCTTTCATACATCTTTAATAAATGTATTAGTAGCAAGGAGGAAAAATCTCATTCCAAGTGTGCGCACTTATGACTGAAGTGTCACTTCAACTGACGAAGTGACACTCTAAGAGTGTGAGTCAGTTTTAGAGCGAGCGTAGCATTAGTTTAGATTTTGTTGAATAAAAACTAGACGTTGCCGAACTCTCCGCGACGTTTTTTCATCAAACTGCATTCAGTTTACGAGAGGTTCCTCGGTCGTTTTCACTTTCATGTTTGCTGATTTTGATATGGAGCAGCCTTTCGTAAATTGAATGCAGTTCGATGAAAAAAGTATTTACAGTCGTAGGTAAGAAAGTAACTTAACCCTTTCTTGCCCTATAGGGACCATTTTATAAAAATTTAGTTCACTTGAACTAGCGAATGTCTCGCAATAAGGCGCCGCTAATTCAAAAGAATTGCAAGTTCTTATTTTTCACTTAAAACTATATCATTCGATGCAAAATTTCACGGTGATCACGAATATCACCTTTTGAATTGATTTTGATCCAGTTTTGGGGG